AGTTTCAGCCCACATAAAAGTCTTCCTTACTTGTGGCAGCATTGAAACCAAGAGCCAAGACATCACCATACTGTTCTCTTGGCTCCACCTATCATGCTCAGCACTTCCATACTTCGGCTCCTTTACTCTCCCATTGATGTATCCTATTCTCCCCTAGCAGTGATGTAGAGTTTTATTCCCCTAGATCACTCAAGGTAATTCAGACCATCAAAGGGAATAACAGCCATGGGAAAGCTCATATCCATTCCCCCACTCACTCCATTGTGGCTCCCTGAGATCTCTGAAGTAGCAGAATTCTCAGTTGACATGGTCAAGCAGTTAATCAGTCCCAAACACCGGACTTAGGACCCSTCCTTACTCCACAAAACAATGCTCCACTCAGTTCACACCCACACACTTGGGTTTAACAACCAGGTTGAGTACAAACAGTACCAAATTCCTGGACAAAAACTGAGGAAATATTCAGCAGATTTCAGACCTGTATAGTTTTAACAGTCCCCACCTACCAGAATTCCAGAATGTCCAACAACCACTAATCAGCAGGAGAGATCCTTCTTACTTATAGTCAACTCAAACCATTGAGAAGACAGGTCATCCTTGACCTACAGTTGTCKTAACACATGAACAGGATCACACGATCCAAGAAAACTAGGGTTACACAGGTTCAACAGCATTCAGCCGCCCCAGATTCATAGGGTTTTCACTCGGCACATACCAAGGAGGGTAAAGAAGAGAAAAATAGGGAGAACTGTACCAGTTGTAGCTATTTTGTAGTTCAGAATCAGATTTCTGTTCTGCTAGTCTGTTCGATTTGTTCTTTGGGTTGATCGATCTTCTCTCTTTTAATCAGCATTCCCGCTCTGATACCATCTCGACAGTGTGGCCGGCCAGAGATAAGAGGAAGAGAAGAGAAGAAGAAGAGAAGAGAAGAGAGGAGAGAATAGAGAAGGTTTTGCAATGTAACAGTACTAGCGGCGCCAGTCTTTATTTTACTATATATAGGGCGGCAGAAATAACAAGGGAAAAGACCCTTGTGCGCCTGAGTACAATAACAGACATAACAGAAATAAAAAACGAAATAAAAAACTTTAATTAGCCAAACAGGCCCTAACATCTGCAACTAAGTTATTTTAACATTATTCTAACAGATCGTTTCTTGTACATTGCTACACACATTAAAGTGTTCTGGTTATACATTAAAAAGAAAATTATTTTCTGAGGATAAGGATTTCCCTTTCAATCTTTTTGCTATTTTCTTATTTTTTTTTTCTTTTATTTTTTTTTATCTGTTACTAGTAATGTTTCTTGAATAAAGTTTTTACTGTGGTTTATTATCTAGTCTTAATCATTAGGGTTGGGTGCTTGATACTAGTTCTGATGTTCACCATATATTTGTTTATAAAGGTGGTGAAAGAGGTCTTGTTAGGCTATGTTAGGGAGTGGAGCATTGGAAATGTATGCATAAAATGAAATTCATGGAGACATGTACGAACCGAAGGAAGAAAATGTGTTTTTTCTTGATTTTGCATTTATGTGTGCATGGATTTCTCATGCTTTGTACCTTGATAAATTGGTGTCAGCGAAGACCTTGAAAGCTAATTGTTCTTGTACTTCTTGAAGACATTCTCTTGCCCTTTTGCTTTTCCTCTATGCTCTTCTAGCTGGTTATTAGTTCTGATTGATGTTATATGCATTAAAGGAATAATGGATTTTAACTGAAGTTCCTGAAGATAGTCCTTGTTTCTTCCTCTTTGTCAGCTATACCTCTATCTGAAGATCATAAACCAAATCGAACTGATGAGAGGAAGAGAATTGAAAGTGCTGGAGGGGTTGTTATGTGGGCAGGTGAGACCCTTGTCTTGAATTACTAATTGAAAGTGCTGGGGGAGTTGTTATGCAGGCAGGTAAGACCCTTGTCTTGAATTACTGGTACTCTTCTCTAGCAGTTAGGTTCTTTTGGTTGTTTAACTGCAAGGACAGACTTGCACAATCATGAAACACCACTTGCAATTTGCAATTGATGACATGCACTTGGGGTAGTTACATGATGCCTCTGAACTTAGGATTAGTTATTGCCAAAATCTACCATGGATTTTGGTATGATTCCAGGGAACCAATTTTGGTTATTCTCATGTTCCAGATAATGAGATTTAACTTTGCATGAATGAGAACCGCAAAGTTTTCCGATTTAATATCCAAACTTAAATGTCTTATTAGTTTTTTATATGGCGATAATAATCCAATCCATTTCCATCTTTTTTCGTGCTGTCAAAAAATAAGTAGACCATTGAATGGTGATTATAATCATCACATACTTCTTTATAATGGAGGGACCATGCAAATGGACCTCCTTGCTTCTCATATTGACGCCCATTGGTGGGCTGTTTTGATGTCCTAGGTGATTGATGTCATGGAGTTCCTTTCTTGGTTCTTGCGCTGTCATTAATGTGAGGCTAGAATCCATGTTTCCCTTAACAATGTGATATCAAGGATTGAGTTTATTGCATTCTTGGGATTATACTGGCATCATCCTAATTGTCCACCAAAGAATGAAGGGGGAAGAACCTTTCATAATCACACCACATCTGATTGAAGACCAACATACTTGCCTTGTGGTGTTTTGGAGCATGGTTAGAATTAGACGTGCCAGAAACATAGTAGAGAGGGTGAGGAAATAATTTAGTTTTCAACTCCAAAAATGGGTTAAAAAGTGTTGAAAGTTCAATCTTAAAAGAAAATTGCTACATGCATGTTTTATGTGATTTTTCTGTAAAGTAACATGGGGAACTCTGCCTCTATCACCCTTTCACTTCCTCCCTCCTCCCTCTCTCTAATTTAATTGGGTCTCTTTTTTGAAAGGCGATAAAGTATTGTATTATATTACTATGAGGGTGAGACATCCTCAGACTTTACAAAATGCTAAACATGAAGCGCTGTAGCATATAAAATACATCCCCAAAAAGCATCAGAAAATGATAGAAAACCAACCTGCCCTAATGGAGTCGATTTTAATCCCAGAGAAAAGGTGTAGAACTGAAACCCGACAATATCCAGAGAGGAAACCTTTCCTTGAAAGTTGAAACACCTTATTATTCCTTTCCTTCCATACCCCCAGCTTACTGTGAATGGCAAAAAATGCCACAATTTTTTCTTTGATAGAAAGCCCCCCACTATCCATGAAGATAGTAAATCTGCCACTGATCAAGAACAGACCCATTGCCTAGAAAAAAAGTTAAGGAAATGACTGGACAGGCTAGAGAAGTAAAAGGACAATGAATAAGCAAAAGGTCAGCAGACTCAAGTGATTCCCCACAAAGGCAACACACATCACATTGTTGATGATCAACCCCTTCTTCAGTAGCAAATCCACGGTTTGGATCTTATTCCATCCAGCAGCCCAACAAAGAAAACCACCTTGGATGGGGCCTGGGCTCACCAAATCCAGCTCCAGGGAGTAGCTTGAAACTCACCAACTGGCATCTTATAACAATATTTAGTGGAGAAAGATCCTGAAAGCTCTCTCACCCAGATACGGGAGTCCCTTTGCTGTGGATTCAACTGAAAAGCCTCTAATCTTTTCAATAGCTCTATGACATAACCCACTTCCCAATCATTTAAATTACATCGAAATTTAGGTGCCCACACCTACTGATAGCCAACCCAATCTGTACACTTTTTCACTAACTTTTATTTGTTGTCTGCAATGTTATAACGACCAGGACATACAGAACAAAGAGCCTGGTCAGAACTCCAAACATCAGTTTAGATGAAAATCTGCTCTCCATTTCCGGGTTTCAACTGGATGTTCCTGTCAAAGGACCTGCTTTAAGTTCATCACCCCCTTCCACACAGAAGGACAATAAGATCGAACAGGCATGAGGGTTTCTGTTAGGACCTGTACCAGGCCCATGACTACAACTATGGGCCATTCACCCATCACGTGCAATTTTCCCACCACTAAACAGGTCGATTATCGCAGGGCACATGCACCATCTTCCCAGGAATGATTCCAGACGTAAGATAGAAAATCCCATGTAACGACCTGAGCAGAATATATAAACTCTTATCGGCCATGTAATAAGGGGATATCAGAAAAACCCTTTTCAATTCATCTCTTTATCTTTTTCTCTGGAGGTCGGTTCCCCTCAAAGGAACCCTGTGACAGGCAGAACCTATTACTTTCTCAATCCATAGGGGACGGTGCTATATTTTCTGCTTATCACCTGCCTCCATAACTGATTGTGTTTTCTCCCAAACCGCCATAGCCTTCTTCTGAGTAGCCCTTTATTCATTACTTTTAGCTTCCTCAAACCAGTACCTCCCTTGGCTCACAGATTTTGTCCCACTCCACCATGCGATTTTTTTTTCTCTTCATTTGGTCCTTCCCAGAGGAAATCCCGAAGTAGCTTTTCCAGTGTAGCTTCAATTGATGTTGGAATTGTGAAACAATGACAGGTAATAAGTGAGGAGATTGGATAAAACACACTGAATAAGAATAAGAGTAAGCTTACCCCCTTTGACAGATATCTCTTTTCCATCCCAAGAGCTTTCGTCTGAAATGCTTGATGACAGGATCCCAGATGGCTATGGAGTTGTAGCCAGCCCCCAATGGAAAAGTCTCAGATACTTTGTTGGCAGAGAACCTGCCCAGCATCCCAGGGTAGAAGCTAACTCATTGATTTGGGGAACACCCCCAACAGGAATCGGCTGACTTTTCTGCAAATTAATCTTCAAAACAGAGGCTGCCTCAAAACAAATGAATCTGAGAAAAAGCAAGTCATCGCTCATGTGGAGATCATGGTATTGTCTGCAAATTGCAGCAATGCCGCGGTTGGACCTGAATCACCAACAGGGAAACCTTCGACTCCCTCAGCTTTCTTGACCATCCTGCCCAAGGGATCAACAACTAGAGAGAACAGCAATGGGGAAGGGGATCACCTTGCCTCAAACCCCTATCCCCGGGAAAAAAAATCTAAGGAAGCGCCACTAATTGTCCTCCTCAAGACTTTAACTGGGTCTTATTTATACTGGAGTGAAAAATACATTATTTTGTTTTATTTCTGTCAAATTCTGCCCCTTCCCTTCCCTTCCCTTCCTCTCATTAGGTGGGATTTTAGCATGGCACTGGTGATGTTTGTAGAAAGACAATCATCATCATCATCATCTAAGACTAAGCCTTATCCCAACCATATGGGGTTTGCTACATGAATCCTGTTTCACAATTCCATTCTGTTTAATACCATATCAATTGTTAAATTATGAGTGCTCAAATCATTTTGTACTACTTCAACCCATAACCTTTTCAGTCTGCTCCTAGCCCTTCTATTCCCTTTAACTTATAATAGATTGCTTCTTCTTACAGATACTGTGGTTTCTATGCACATGATCAAACCTTCATATTTACTTTCTTTCATTTAATCACCTATTGGAGCTACTCCTAGGTTCCTTCGAATGACTTCATTTCTGACCTATCATTTCTAGTTTTTTTTCACTCATCCATCTCAGCATATGCTTCTTTGCCATACTTATTTTTTGGACATGTTTCTCCACTGCCCAACACTCTGCCCCATATAGCACAGTTGCCTTATGACTGTTTTATAGAATTTTCCTTTTAATCTAAGTAGTATTCGCTTCTCACATAAGACTCCATACATACCCCTCCATTTGCCCATCCTACTTAATTCTATGGGCAACATCCTCCCCAATTTCTCCCTTGTAGAAAGAATGGTGAAGACAAAACCCCGATTTCTTCCCTTTGGTTTTCTGTTGTGTCTGACACTCCATGGCCATGTCAACAAATACTTTATGACTTGTCAAAGAAGACAGAACACTTCATGTTGTTTCCCCTTTGTTAAACTTACAGGTAATATGTTTCAAAATAATGTTCATGCATATCCACTGGTAACTTCTTGTTTGTCAAATCTGTGTGTGCTTTGTCTTTTTAAGAAACACAAGCTCATTTATTTTTCTATCCATGTGGTGGGGTGTGACAAGTATTCCAAGTGGTTGGAATTAAGGTTTAGTTGAGTTGAGTTTATGTGGTGGTATGTGGACTTGTTGTTCAACTGGTGTAACTGTCGGGGTTCATGCATGATGAAAGATTATGTGCATGGGAATTAGGAATGTACCACTCTTTCATATTTAAGCCTAGTGCTTTTGATCGGTACGCTTACAACATCATGATGTGCCTAGATCACTTCACCTCTGATTCAGAGACCCTCTTGACAATCTGGTATGTTTTTAAATGTCCTGGGAAAATGCAATACATCCAATTATACATTCATACGGCTGGCCCAATTTCTTGTATTTTGTGTATGTATGTGTGTTTGCACATGCATGTGCATCGGGACTGCTGGACTGAAACAGAGGGAGTTGTAAAGTCCAGTTGAGTATTCCTCCTAGATAGAAATTATCAACTAAGTTGTTTTTTTTTTTTTTTTGTTTGGGTTCAAGACTCGATTGATTTCTTCCTGTTATTTAAGCAGGAACATGGAGAGTTGGAGGGGTGTTGGCAATGTCCCGAGCTTTTGGTGACCGCTTATTGAAGCAGTTTGTAGTGGCAGAACCTGAGATTCAGGTACATTAAAAGTCTCTACTCTCTAATCTCCCATGAACTAACCTGGTGTTGTGTCAACTTAGACAAACTTGGTATTTATAGAAAATTGATTTAGGAGAATCAATTTTCCTTGTATTATGATTTTCTTCTTCCGTTTTGGTCCCATTATGTAGTAACTGATGCTTATGACTTTAAAGATATTTATCTCTTGTTTGATCAAAAGATGTTTATCTCCTGTTTAAAGGTTTTGACTTGTTCAAATGCTTTCAAAAGAGAAGATAAAAATGGTTTAATTAGAAAATGTGGGGTAGGCAACTGTGTCTGAGGAAATTTCTTGTGTATCTCATTGCTTTTTGTTGGTCTTGACACTTATTTTATGGATTGGCTTGAGGGATTTTTTTGATCAATACGGGTTGAGTGAATTAAAGAAGCTATGAATGAATTACTTGTGGAAAGTGTGGAGGGATGATTTCAAGGTTGATTACCAAAATAAGGATATATTCTCATATGACAATACGAATTTTGTCTGAATAAACTCTGCCTTCCTTGACAATATGAATGCTACGTGCCGTGTTTGACTAGGCCAGCTTTCAAAAGATTTTCCTCTGTGGATTACATTGAAATCAACCATTTTGGCTATCCATGAGGGCTTGAATATTGCAAATTAGATCGGGTGCATATCTAGCTGATTTATGAGATGCTCTATAGAGTCAAGGGTTGATGAAAGCATGAATAAGCTGCATGTTGAGCACTTAAGCTAGAGTTCAATATTTAGTATTTAACTACATGATTTTCTATGCAATTGTATATTGCTAAAGTTCTAGCCAATTAACTATAACTTGCATTTAAATTTATGGATTGAGTGCCATGTCATGTGATTGCACATCTTTCAGGAACAGGAGATAGATGATAAATTTGAATTCCTGGTGATAGCTTCTGATGGGCTATGGGACGTGGTTCCAAATGAGGTCAGATTTTTCCCTTTGAATTCCCTTTGTGAGTTTGAAAATTTGGAGGAATGTATGACATAAAGGTGTGTTTTCCCCTCCAATTGGGGTCCAATAATTGGTTTTTTTCATGTTAACCTACGATTTAATCCTTTTTACTAATTTCTATTAATTGTTTTGGTACACTAATTTTCTAGGCTTTAGTTATTTGGTGTGAAGGCTTAAGGATTTTTTTTTTTATTTTTGATAAATAAGCCCTAAGGAAATATTAGAAAAAGGAAGAAAATGGGATGGTAATCTCTCATACAAGTGCATCTGCACTAATTTCTTAACAAAGGAATGTATACGAGGAAGTTATTTTTTGGGTTCGACTATGATACCAGAAAGACATGATTGCCAGAAAAACTTACAGCCGATCAACTGGTATCATAAAAGAGGTGACCAATCAGGTGGTATTCATGACAATTCACGGGTGGTTTAAATTTAATTGGTCAAAGCTCTTCCGGTACCATGTCTTTCTGGTATCATAGATTTTCCCTATTCATTTGTCCATGCCATATTTTCCACTAGCATTTTGTAATTTAAAAAAAATCTAACTAAACAACCAAAGTTTCAAGGTTTTGTGTATTATTTCTTGCTATATTGGTTTTTCCTGTTCAGTTGATTCAAAATTATAGTAAATGTATCTGTGCCACTATTTTGCACACTAGGATGCTGTTTCCATTGCAAGAACTGAAGAAGAACCTGAGGCAGCTGCCCGGAAGTTGACAGAGACTGCATTTACTCGTGGGAGTGCCGACAATATTACATGCATTGTGGTGAGATTCCACCATGAAAAAGAAGATTGCAGTTCATCCTTGAAGGCAGGGGATTAGAATCGATCGATCAGCTCGTTTGATGTTGACAAATTTCATATTTGAAAATTATGGGTGGGAATCTGTCTGTGCATGCCTGCATGTTGAAGTACAGGTATTTTCTTTCTTTTCTCGTTTCTTATTTACCTTATGTCAGTGGTGTGTTCCTTTTTTTCCCCTTTCTGGGTGTTCCTCAGGGAAGTAGGGACTGGGTTCTCTGACTGTTTTTAAAATATTGTGTATAACCTCATTTTGGTCATTCAGATATTGGCCGCCAAGGAAAAATTTTGGCTAGTGCAGGTATCTCTTTTTTCCTTTATCGTTTCTAATTTTTGTACGTCCCTTTCATTTTTTGCATTTCTGCTTTCTGGGTGTTCCTCTCTCTTTGTTGGCAATGCAATTTCATTTGTACTAGTGCAAATGCATTTGAGTACAAATTAAAACAGCATAAATATTGGATTACTTTCGGTTTGGGTTTTACTTTGCCTTAAGTTTTATTTATTTTTTTACTTTGCGCTTCAATTAAAGAAGAGTAAAATTCAAAACAAAAAAGAATCAGTATTTGCAATATAACTCATTTATAGTCCCATACTTTTGCACCAGTACAAATGCAAATGAAGTTACATCGCAAACAAATTAGGCCTTTGGGAAGTAGGGACTTGGGGACTGGGTGCTCTAGAATCTTTAAATATTGTGTATAAATTCATTTCGTATACCATTTGTCTGAGTCCTTCGCTTCTTGATTGAAAGATAAGCGTGTGAAATTGGGTTTGCTCCTCAAGGAGCGTGTTTGACACTAACCTCACAGCACATCGCAGCCCTGCATTAGGAACATCTTGTGACAAGTGACAAAATCAAGTATGATAGATGTTCTCACTGCATGACTAAAAGCGCTGTGAGACGTGCTCTGTGAGGAGCAAACCCGGATTCAATACAAGCATCCTAATGATATATTTCTTTGACCCACGCCACTTGTGCCAAATTGACTGACGTTGGGCAATTTACAAAAGGGAGAATGACCAATCAGCCCAGATCAGAATTTTATAGTCCATGCATCTTGACCGTGAATTGATGTCAAATTCATGGCATTTCCGTTTACAAAATGCCATTAGCCCGTTACCTATCTCGTTCAGATTCAATATAACCATAGTAGAAGATTTCTGTTCACTCTGCCATGACAACCTTCCTTGAAACACGCTCTCTCCGCTAATGGAACCAAAGCAGGGTCGTCTTTCTCATCTCCCGTGAGCCAAACACACTGAGTTCCATCATTTCATTGGTAATGATGAAATTCTCATCTATTGTGTTGTCTTCATCCTGACTCATTGTAGATGAACTGAAAGAGGGTTATCTTTATCTTTTTGGTTTGCAGCAGCTGAATTGATTATTCATCTCGGTGACCCAATGTGCAAAATGAACGGTGGTGAGAAAAGATCATAAAGATTAGTTCCTAGGATTAGGAAACTTATGTCCCGTTCCTCCAATGCAGATTTAACAATTAACAGTTGCTTGTATTCTATTAATAATGATTGAAGTTTTCCGGCGAGGAGCCAGTCACACCAGTGAATTGGAGAAAAGATGTAGGGCTGTCAATTGGTTGGGTCTGGGTTGGACAGGGTGTTCCAGTCCTGTCTTGATTTAATTGAAACAAAATGATAAACCCCAAACCATACAGATTATTTAATTTGGATAATCGGGTCTGACCCAATAGACCCAATTATATTGACACCTGTATTTATTTATATAAATAACAACTCAAATTTTATTTTTAAAAAATATATAATCTTAATAAAAATGACAGTAAATTATTTATATATTAGTAAATCAAGTGTTTTTAACTAAATCTATCGTATATATTATCTAGCAAATTTAATCCTTTCAGATATAAAATATGATAAAGATACAAAAACTATATATTATTGATAAAATAATCAGTTCAGGTCTGAATCGGTTCAGAACAGGCAAGAACCATAAACGAACCAATTATTAATTGGTGAAGATAAAGTCCAATAGTTTTAACTTTTATGATGAAAGTGTATTTTGTTGAGAAAATTTCGCTCCTTGCTTAAATGATAGAGACACAATCAGTATTTACAAATGCTTGGATTTTTAATTTAAGCTGACGTTCAACCTGATTATGTCCTTTTGCATCAGCCGAATGCATGAAAGCCTTCATTTAAAAGGAATAATAATTAGAACATCTCCCGTGAATAATAATTGATAAGTACGGGAGATGTTCCCAATGCATGATAGGATGAGCATGTGAAGCACCAGGTGTGAGGAGAAGATCCGTCTCCATCCACCTTGCATTGGGAACATCTCATGTGAATAATAACTTATTAGTACGGGAGATGTTTCCAATGCATGGTAGGATGTGCATGTAAAGTTGGTGTGAATTGTCCTGTGTGAGGAGCAGATCTCATTCCATACAGTTGGATTATGCTGAGATGTGCATGTGGGGCACCTATCCAGGTTACACTGGACAGCACAGGCTGTCAAATGTAGATTCCCAAATTTTTCCCTAATTTACCGCAATATTTGAACCCCTTTGATATTTTTGCAGTCTGGTAACGTCGCTGCTCATTAGAGAGGGGCTGGTTGAATGGCTTGAGTCATGATCATGACAGTTGAAACTTGAAAGCATGCGCTGCTAATCTGAAATAGTTAAATATAAATGAAAATGTAAAGTTGTTTTTAAGCTTATGAAAAGTCCGGATGTCATTTTGGACAGACGATGTTGGTTTTCCAATCATTCAGCTAGACTAGCATCCATGATTCCATGTTAAATGGACTTCTTCTAGATTGCCAAGAGACGAAAGCAATAATGCACGACCTGGTTGGACTTGCACCACGTATTTGGCTAAATGATACCTTTTCTTATAGGCCTTCTGGCTGATATGGTAATTCTTCTTTTTATTTGAAAAACAAAATCATGCATATGGGCGGACATATCAGAAAATTAGATGCCAACCCATGGCTTAGTTGCCAAGTTCTCTGGTCATAGCGCATTAACTAATGAAGTGGTGTTTGTTGTCTTACCAATATGGAGTGGTTAGGAAGGTCTCCTGCATGTTCATTATGTTTTAATGAATTAATCCTGTCATCAGGGTCGGGGGGTTACCCAACCCACCTCACAGCCTTTGCAGCCGTGCATTAGGTACATCTCACCATGAATTAATTCATACAAAAGATGCTCCTGATATGCGGCTGCTAGGACTGTGACTCAAACTCATGCTAACACTCTGAATCTGCTACCCACATCCCTACGCACAAAGCACCACCGTGTATTGGGAACATCTCCCCATGAATGACAAGGGAGATATTCCCAATGCGCAGCTGGAGGGTAAAGATGTGGGAACAGCCAGTGGGTAGCAAATCCGAGCCCCCTATTTTAACCATCCAAAGCATTCGTACTTATTCTGTAGAGAGCCATTTCGAAAAGCACTTGTATTTAATCATAAACAGTACTTATGACTGAACTCTTAAAAGGAATTAGGACTTTTGGACACTAAAGCTTGAAATAATATAGAATAGGTAGAGGTCTATCCGGTACTAAGTAGATCAAAGTAAAAGCCATCTTTGACCATATGGTACTTCCTCTAGCTCTAAGCTCTCTGGATTTTATTCTTCTCTGGGTGTCTTAAAATTCCCATCATATCCCTAGTCGTTTGATCTTTCTCTCTAACCCTCATCGCTCTTCACTAAAGGATATAGGTGACAGCGGCGGCACAAACTGTAGATGTTATTGCAGCAGTACTGGTAACCCCTCTCTCTCTCTCTCTCTCTCTCTCTCTAAGCTGCTACCTCTTTTCCCAATCCCCCACTTAGTTTCTCCCCTCTCTCGATCAATTGATCGTTCGCCAATGACCCCCTGCTTCATCTTTTAATGGCATGAATTCACCCACCAACCCAGATGGTCAGACCAGTGAGCCATCACCTGGAAAGGAAGGTGGGTCTGCCATCGTCCAGGTTTTAAAACATTGGTTTCCTACTAATATAAATATTCAGTTTAAACTGCAACAAGCTTAAGACAGCAGGGTCATGCTGATTATTTAAAATAGGTTATCTCAGTACTCACTGTTAACTCTTTAAGTTGTATTCCCATCAAATTTCAGGAATGGGTCATGGCTTTCTTAACATGCAGCGAACAGATTCAACTTCTAATATTCTTAGATCTCCGCTGAAAGTCTAATAGTAATATGACCATGTATCCTATCGACCTGCTAGTGTACTGCTCAAATGTACTTAGGTGCAGTCAACTACAATGAAGATTGAATTCTTTAACCTCTTCGAACTCCTTCGCTTTAATGGACCAGGATTTTGCTTTTACAGACATGCTTTGTCCAAGGATTTGAGAGTAAAATGAAGAAGGGGAACATTTCACCTTTAGTTCTTTATGATTTCTCTTCATCGGACTGAGAGCATGGTCCAGGGACGGAATCAACAAAAAACTCCTCAACTGAAATCAAGGTCAAACTATTAGCGAGCAAATTTTTAAGATATTCAAGAAAAAAGACTAGTACACATTCTAAAGTTTGGAAATAAATAAAAAGCATTTTGAAATTCATCCTTTGTGGTCTGTACCCAGCTGTCCATGAAGCCTTCTTGGCCAATTTTCTTAAATGCACAATGAAAAAAAAAAAAAAAGGTTCCTTGTATAAAATGTAAGCTAATTGACTCTTCTAAACAAAGTTCAGTCGGTCTTCAATCATAATGAATTAATATAGTTTTGCCAATACCAAGATGGGTTGTCACATTGCAAGCACACACGGTCGACATTCAGGATTGCACTTGCCAGTCAATGGGTCCCAAATGGGTCAGTTATCAGGAAATAGGAGATCTCTTGATCAAAATCATTATATTCAGAAAATGTGTTGGGGAAGATGCACTACAGTAGCAAAAATGAGTGTGAAAAGCAATCCCAGGACAGCAATAAACTTACCTCTAAGTTTGTGTGTTAAAATGGGTTTGTCAACATCAATGACAGCAGATAAACAATTCAGCCAAGTAACAGAAAATACAAATAGCACACCAGAATTTTTATGTGGAAAACCCCCAAATTGGGGAAAAACAATGGGACCTATAGTCCGTAAAAGTCTTCCATTAATTCAGAAATTAATGGGTACAACAGTCCTCTCTAGTAGCAACTAGAGGTTTATAGACATCAAGGAAATAATCCTTGGCTCACAAGTCACCAAGCGTAAGGTGGATTCAACAAAAACAAAGGTTTAGATCTCACCAAGTTCCTGTAAATATGAAACTGAGAAGAAAAGAAGAGGCAACCAATCTGAACTGGAGTGAAATTCTTGACTCCTTGAACAGCACTTAATCACATCAAGAACGGGCTTGAAAACACATCCAAACTTGGCCTTAAATGGAATAGAAACCAGCTCTTTCTTCTCTTCTTCACAAAACTCAAAACCCTAGAAAAACCCTTGGTTCTTTTTCTCTTCTTTCTCACTCTCCACTTCGGTGGTTATGAATGTTAGCTAAAACCAAAAAGGTGGAAGCCTTTTTGGCTTACACAATACAACTCCTTTTTGGGAGCATGAAAAGGTGGGGTGGGCCCCTCATATAGGCTGGACCCACACCAAACAATTCAAACCATCACATCACTTATTTGGATCTGGATAACTGACTGCAAACTAGTTATCTCTCCATAGATCTAAATGAAACCCATTAGATAGCAGATTTCAATACTCTAGGCATTCTTCTAGGGCTGCAAGATGGGTTGCCTGACTTGACTTTTCAACTACATTGGACTTGGGTTAGGGTTCTAGCCCATTGAAAATTTAACAAATTCCCAACCCAACCTGACCTAAGTTGCACCCTTACATTCTTCTGCATCATGTCCTTGAGCAGGTAATTTACATGTAACAAATGGGTTCAGTATTCTCAGACAATGGAAGAAGATTAACAAACAAATAAAATGCGTCAACTGAATTTATGAAATGAAACATAAGAAAAACAAAGGAAATTCATTTTTCATACCTATATCATCTTGCTCTGGGGAATCGAGCAGAATATTATCTGAATCAGAATGCAAGAAGGGGGAACTGGGATAATTACCAAGGGCTCCAAGATCTGTGAAAAGTTTGAAAATATGTTCAGAAAGTTAACATTTTCTAGTAAAAGTAATATTTATCTGTATAGAGTAATTACATGTATTCTGGTTTTCAGTTCTACTTTCATTTAGCTTTGTCTGCATTTCAGTAATTGAGCAACAGCTAAAAAATATATTATAATAACTGCCAATGTATTAAATTGTGGTTCTAGAATTTTAGCCTTCTCAATTGATACTTGGTCTTTTTTGAAAGAACTCTTTTTTACCTTTCACAAAACTTAAAATTATTATTATTATTATTATCAAGCATTTACTCAGTTTCTTTATATGTCACATAATAATAGTCAATGTTGAAAATGCATATATTATTAAAAATAATTAACAACATTTTATAAACCATACTCCAAAAAAATATAGGGATTTACCACACTTTAATTTCAAAATTTCTATTTATTTATTTTTGGTGGGGAGGAGGATTGATCAAAGAAACAAGGTCACTGTATATCAATTATCTGAAGTATCATAGTTTTCAGTGGCTGCAACAACAAAACTGCACACTCAAATATGGTTTTAACTTGAAAAATGACAAGATTACCTCCCAAGTTTGACAAGTCGGCTGTAAGATCTGAGAGGCTGAAATTCCAAGGGATCTGAGCCAATGATCTAAGGGAGTCCCTCAAATTTCCAGAGCCACTATCTGCTCCTAGTTGCATACCTACTGAAGTTGTTACATCTGATGTAAAAGCTGTGTCTAGTGCTGATGTGTCAACACCAATACCTGATATCTCTGATGGAGTAAATGGAAAGTGACCACTAGATGCCACTGATGTAGGACTCACAGCCATCTCTGTCATGGATGACATGGCACTGCTTGGGGGTATAACTGGTGCCACATCAGATGTGTTGTTGTCCATTATGGTACTGCAAAGACAAGCAATTGCATTAACAAAGCTTCTTGCAAGAAAAACCAAATGCATGGACAAAACCAGTAGATCAAACATTATCAGGGCACCTCACACCATACATTTCATACTGTATTCACATTCAAGGTTGGACTTGTAAAAGAGTAACTCTTTGACAAGACAAAAAGTATACACATAATAGAACAATTTATAAAGACAGAAATATGCTAGGATTCTCAAACATTCTCCGACAGAGAAATTATCAGGTTTACTGATAGGAACAATCATTTAAACCTGTTTGTACTAATTTATCTACACTTTGTGTTGACCAATAGGCACAGATTCCAAGGCTTAGAACTGAATCCCCTGAAAAGTATCAGGTCAAATACTGACATGGAAACTTGGGAACATGTCTAAAACAAGATCATTTTAACATCCTATCCAATTGGCTCTATTTCTGACTCAATAGGGTGCAAAGTTCAGGTTTCTCTTCATACAGTTTTTACCTTAATTTTGATAAAGTAAATTCTTTTATGCAGTTATTTTCAGCAAAAAAAAAAAAATCATCTAAGAGAGGAAGGTACACATGTAACCATGTAATCAGCATTTCATAAGAAGAGTAGCGGAGAAATAAACATGGAACATAATCATAGATATGACAAATTTGAAAACTAATGCTTCAACAGGGAAGCTGATTAGACGTTGCTCACTTGCTTGATCAGCCTCAAGCATAGGATTCACATGGGGAACTGAGCAACTAGGTACCAAGGAACAACAAGCTTGAGATAAAAAATGTTCTTACTCATTCCCAGAATTAACCCGAATGGGATGAAAACTTCCTGGTGCTGGGACTCCATTTACCACATGACAGCTTGATATGCCGCAGGCCATGGAATCAATATGGGGCTGACCTGGAGCTGGAATTGGGGGCTGCTGCAGGACGGGGTAGCCCATTGGTAAATTGTTAACTGCACTGAAAAGGAGGTGGCATTGAATAAGAATGATAACAGCGATCTAGCTCCTAACATATTACAGGACTGAAATTTGTAGTTATAAACTTGAAACCTAGAAACTTTTTCCAAGAAAAGGATGTGGAGAATTAAACTAGCTATCCTGACTTTTATATGATGACAAACAGAAGATTCTTTCTGTTTCTCAGGAAGCATGATAAAACATTATAAAATCAGAAACTAAACATGAACCCAACTAATTTAGACAAGTAGACCATGACTCTGGGCAATAGCTTTTATCACAAGCATTGACATATGAACATTGTTAAATTAAGGATTGAACCATAAAGTTTAACAATGCACAAATGATGCTCCATTGAAATTGTCAAAAGAAATAGGAACCAGATTGACACAACAGCATCGGATGATTAAAACAAGAGAATCATTAAATTGGAAAGTCATGTTTTTTAAATGTAGGTAAAGCCAAGCCTGAATTCTGTCAATTTGCAGCTTTAAGTTTAATTTAGTGAATTTTGTTAAACACACTTGTAATCTGGTTGATTTTATGCAACTTTGGACATTTCGGGAAGGTTGTTCATATCAGGAGGGTACATAGACTCATAGGTATATGATTAGGGAGTTTGGGGACTTGATGAAGTCATGCTCTAGCAGATGGATTGGCAAAATCAGATGTTCTGGGGTTCGGTGACCCATGGAGAGAGTTGTAATTCATAATTGTAGGAGTGGTTACCTGAAGCTATCTACCTATCTAAGGAACACTACAAGAATGTATTTTTCTTATTTTAAATACATTTGATAGTTACTGATCAAAAAGGGAGGGGGATTGTTCATCTATTGAAATACAAAGGTTATTGCAGTGCCTTCACCTTTCTGATCAGAATATACTGAAAGATTTGAAGTGAGAATTTACCAGGCATGGGGTGGATTCCATTTTGTATTGGAGCAAGCGGAACCTTTGGAGGTGCAGGATACTTTATCAAGTGGTATTGATGCTCAAGTAAATGATTGAATAAGATGATCTGTTTTTTCAGCTTTAGTCTTACATAATATGCCCTGAAAAAGTCTGCATTTTCTTCTTCCAGTTTCTGCCATACTGAATTAACAAGAATCCAAAAGAGAAAAAGAGAGACATTAGGCCAGCCTGCACAAAAAAGAGTTGGCTGAAGAATCAATAAAAAAGGTTCAGCTGAAGAAGATAGATGGTGGCTAGGATCATAGTTTCAAATGGATATACATATCCTTGTCAGATGCATTGAAACAATAATAATGCTACAATCCAAATCTGTAATGCATTTGGTGCCAATGGAAACAGTGGGACATGGAAACAATATTTTTATCCCTAGGCAAGGTTTAAAATTTCGATACGATACGCCCGACATGGGGTGTATCATATCGTATCGTATCTTTGAAAAACAGATACAGGATACGCATGGAAATCGAACGTCTCGTCTTTTTTTCATGCGTACTGGACCTGTATTGGGGCGTACCGGGGGCATATCAAGGTGTATCATGAGTGTACCGGGGCGTGTCAGTAACGGATCGACGAAAAAGATACAGCCAAAAACTGAAAAAAAAGGGAAAAAGCAAGCTTATTTTCCCTGAAATAAGCCTTCTTTCACCCCCAAATGACTCTAAAACTCCAAACCTCATTCCTAGAGTGCTAAATTTGCAAAAAAAAAAAAACAAGTGTGAATCATTAACTTTTTTTTGAAAATTTTTCAAATTTTGAAAAATATGGCAAAAATAGATATGTTTTTCCAAATTTTTATAATATCTTGTGATTTCTTTTTTTCTTGAATGTTTAAATTTATGTTGATCTACATTTCTTACATTCAAAATCATATTTTTTTTGTGTTATTAATAAATTTATGGAAAATTCATGAAGATATTTAGGGAAAATATAAATTAATAAAAAATTTGAAAATGTAATTTTTCTCTGCCTATAAAGACTAAATATGTTTTAGATCTATGAATTTATCTATCATATCCATGGAGCAATTGAAATTTCTTCTTTAGTATTTTTTTGATTTTTTATATTTTTAGAATTAAA